AGAAGGGCTGTTTATGCACAGGGAGACAGCTCAGGGGGCAGGAGTCCATGGAGGGATGGACACTGGGAAGAGGTAACTATGGGGTGGAAGTGGGAGGGGAGCTGTTGCATTGTAAACTGTGGTCAATGACATGAGACAAAGTATATGTGCACTGCTGTATGGAAAGTGAATTTGCTCTGTAAATCTTCACCTAAATCACAATTAAAAAAAAAAAAAACAGAGTTGGGTTCAGTTCAGATAATTTATATGTACATTTTCCAGTTGCACTTTCTAAGGTGAATTAAGGCATCATATTTTTTCTTAGTTTTCAACAGAAGCTTAAAATAAACGTTTAATAAATGTACATATACATTAAAAAAAAAAAGTAAAATCCAGAACAGAATTTCAAATTCTCTTGGAGTCTAGACTTTCTGGAGCCACAGAGGGTGGATAAACCCCTGAAACTTGCCCTGAGATAATCTTTAAGCCTTAAACCAAAATATCCCCTAAAGTCTTAAAACTGAATAGTAGTTTAGCTTAACTAGTGATAACTGTCTGCCTTGAGTATTTATTATGCTCTTTTAAGAACTATCTATATGGGATCAAAGTGACAACAGGAACCTGAAAGATTAGGTAGGAACCTTAGTGGACCATGAGTTTGTTAATGAGGGAGGGACAACCCAGAAAAGGAGGCTGAGATTGGTGCACAACTGACAGACTGTAATCAGTGTCTCTGAAATGTACATGGAGCAGCTGCGGAATCGGTGTGATTTCGCTGTGTGTGTTCTCAACAAGAACAAAATAAATTTAGGAAAAACCCCACCACTTTCATACATTATTCCATTTAATCCTCACACTGAGAAAGTGCACTCAACTAGTCTTCTGGGTGCAATAAACACTGTTCAGAACTGAAATCTACCAATGCAGTGCATTTTTGGCAGTGTGTTTGTGTGGAGTATTTACAGATAAACAGTTGTACTTTATGAAATTGGTCCTTGCTCTCTAAATGTGACATGAAATAACTGTGCTGCTGCAGGCATGTTGGGACTAACAGAGGGTGGAGAAAAGCTGCAGTTTGGGTCCTGTGAGGTCCTACTGGTGGTGTGAAGGAGCGAATAACCTGAGCTTTCTAGTGACCATTCAACCGTATGTAAACTTGGCTTATAATTAAAGAAAGGTTTTTTTTTTTCCAATTTGATTTCCTGGGTATTTTTTTAAAAAATTTGAAAGTAATGGGGTTTTCACATCTTTGATAGAGAAATATTGAAACTTCAGCTACCACCTGGAATGACAAACTCCTACTGCTGGTGCTCATCTCCTTAAAAAGGCTAGAGAAATAAATGGGTTTGTCCTCAGAAGACCTGGATTAATTGCAGACACCAGGACCCACTATTTGACCCACTTAGTCAAATAATCTTGCTAGATGTTGCATCATTATAATGTTTAAACTTTTAAAAAATTTTTTTTAGCTTTCTCTGCTATAAACAACATTTTTCTGTATGTCGTCTTGTTTCACTACAGAATTAGGCTTTTGAATTCTATATATGCTGCCAATAAAAATCAGAGTATTTATTTTAAAATTTTTATTGTGCTTTGGGTGAAAGTTTACAGAGCAAATTGATTTTCCATATAGCATTTCATACACATTTTGTTTCATGACATTGACTATAGTTCCCTACAGTGTATAACAGCTCTCTCCCCCCTTCCTTAGTTACCTCTTCCCTGTGTCCTCCTTTCCTATTCATACCTGGCCCCTGAGCTGTCTCCCAGTGCCAACACTGCCCTTCTGTTCTTTCATGATTGATCGTTCAAAGGAGGTGTCTGTTGTTTTCATTGTTAGGTGCCGAGGTGCCGTCGAGTCGTTTCTGACTCATAGCGACCCCATGCACAGCAGAATGAAACACCTCCTGATCCCATGCCAGCTCGATGATCCCTGCTATACTTGAGCCCGTCGTCGCAGCCACCATGTCACTCCATCTCATTGAAGTCCTTCCCCTCTTTCGTCGACCTTCCACCTTACCAAGCATGACATCCTTCTCCAGGGAATGGTCCCTTCTGACAACATGACCAAAGTAGGTGAGACGAAGTCTGGCCATT